AATAGCTGCTATTTATCAACAACTCGGCAACGGAGCAGTAAAGAGGATGCTGCAGACAGAATGAACACAGTATTTAATTTCCAAAGCAGGTAATCTTGTTACAAGGACCCGTAACTGTCAGGACTAACATTTTTCAGCTCTGCTAGTCTGTCTGAACAGGGCAGTATCTTTTGAATAAGCTAGTAAAGATGTAGCAATCTTGAAACTTCTGTAAATAATTCACGTACTTAATCTTTACTAGGAAGCAACAAACTCATATTCTAATAAAAATGCTACAATTTCCACAGATGACATCAGTTTTATTCTGAGACTGTAGTGTCACTGACAGTACAACACAGGCTTTCTTAGATCATTTCCTACAATGTACAAGTAAGGCCAAGATGACTTCACTCTAGGCATCCCCTCACCAGTGAAAACTTACAGCCAGAAATTAACTGTACAGACACCAGTCCCAGCCACCCATCTTGGCAGCAAGAAGACAGACTCCTTAATTTTTGATAAAGATGCTCATTTTCCTCTCAGACTGTTAGTAAGTCTGCTCAGTGGATACCTTCAGTCAGTCACGTGCCTCCTATGTCCCACTGATCTCTAGGAAGCTCTGTAGCCCCACTGTGACCTTGTGATCCTGTTGTAGCTTTACAAAGGCCACCCTCAGCCTCCTGGGAAATACATTTACAGAAGGGTGATGTGTAATTCAGTGATCACTGAAGAATGAAGAAGCAACAGGAATATTACCTCAACTTAGTCAGTTTCTGAGGTTATAACTGAAGTATACATTTGGACACAGTGCTTCTTTCTACCAAACCTCGGCCTTAGATTCAAAATTACGTTATCTCAGGTATCTTCCCAACTGTTTTACTTGGAGCCAGCCCTGTGTAGCAGGAGAAAAAGGCTGTTGTATTTAACGCAAAACCTTAACACAGTAAGCACGTATTGCAGACACTGAGGTCATGACAGTGAACACTACTTAACTACAACACCTAGCACCTTTAGCTGCACTTCCACCGGATGTTATTGGGTATGACAACAAGCCAGGCTGAGATTCCTACCCTTGCACAAGTTGGTCTCCAGTCTGGAGTCACACTTCCGTACAGCTGCTCAGCACCCAGCATTAATTTCACAGATTGCGATCCACACTACAGCACAGACAATTATACTGACTGGTAGAAGAAAGAACCACTTCAAATCTCAAGTTACTGAACATACTCCTAATGTACATTTAACAAAGACTCAACAAAAAAGTCTACTGTTCTAGCACCTGGGCTTGCTGATGTACCTCCCTTTCCAGTGAGGTAGGCGTGTGACAACAGGCACCAAAACCAGCAGCTTTGGGTTGTGGCATTTCCAGCCATGCCATCACTTCAGTAAGAACACAAACTCCAAGAAAAACTTTTAATTCAATTTCATTCCAAGTGACGTCTAACCATGGAAACATTCAATTCCTTACCAAAAAAAGTGATAAAACAAGTACTTCCATGATCAACAAGCCTGTACTGGTTTAATTTCTATTTAAAAATACCTATAGGAACCAAGGAGTAGAATTTCCTTTTTCTAAATTTGTTTAAGCTATCTTAATACTGATCACACTGGAGCATTTTATAATATCAAACTTTATTGCTCAAAACTAATTGTCTGAAAAATACACATGTAGTACTCAAAAGACCAAACACATAGGATTATATGATTGTGCATAAAAAAAGCAAGCAGAGGCTCAGTGAAAATGAGGCTTTATAGTTGTACCAATTCAGCACTGGCATCAAGCAACTGCACCCAATACAATTCATACAGCAACCACTATTACCTACTTGGGCAATAAGAATGACTTTTGTTTTGTTTTTTTCACTTTCCTTTCTCCGTTACACAGCAGAACACTGTAACCGATCATTTCATTTGGTTATCAACAGCATGGCTTCTTGCACTTCACATTTATTCCCACGGAAAGTTAGGAGGCTATCACTTCCTGAATTTTACTCCAGAACCAAAGTACAGTCTAGAGAATTAGTAAGATAATCATGATGCTTTTAAATACTTGGATGTTACAAATATATTTGTATAAAGCCTAACAGCATCACAGGAAAATGGAAGTTTACATACAACAGTTAAGTTTATGCATAATAGTCTTTCCAAACTTCTGAGTACCCAACTACTTCATCAGTTTTGTTTAATAAATACGTAAGAAAAAGCTGGATCACTGGTGTTTAAATAGGTAGCATCTGACTATTCACTGGAAGTCACAGTAAGTTTTCCATCAGTACCATAACGATTTGAATGCACACTAATTTAATCCTTAAAATCAATATACCACACTTTTGTCGAGAAGCACATAATATGCAAAGCAAAAACTGTCTAATTCCCAAAGGATGGAACAGTTCTTAAAAATACACTCCACCCCTATAGAAATACCCATCCTCCTCTGGACACAGAAGGGATAAATAACAACGATCAGTGACAAAAGCAGCAGTTGTTTTATGCATTCATACAATCAAGATCTAAACCTTTACAGCCAATTGCCTAGAAAACACACAAGAGTTACAAGACAAGTTTAGGATACATCTTGAATCACACCATAAGTGTTCATGCAGAAGCTGAAGTTAATGCAATGATCTATCCTCTATCACAGCAGCTCGTGCTTATGTGCAAATGCAAGACTGTTACACTCCAAACAATAGTAAACATTAAAACACAAGAATACTTCACAATGACATAAACAGCAGTTAAGTTGTTTGTTCCAGCAGTTATTGCGCTATTTTCTGGACATCTCTCCAGTTAAAGGCTGCAGCAAGGTCTAATACCATCTTTTTTTGTTTGTTTTTGTTTAGAATGCATAATATACGTTCTAGGCTTTGGTTCACAATGAAATCTCTGGATGTTTTCATTAAGGGCAATGGTCACCTTGTGATTCTGATAGTGGCAGACTGAGGTAATACAGCAATCCTCTCAAAAATAATAAAAACAAATTTGTAAGCGAGGCATCTATGGATATTCTGCAGGTGACCTGCAAATGCATTGACATTCTGATTTCAGAAAAATAAAAAGATCTACATGGGTGATTTGTCTTTTACAGTGCCATCCAAGTACAGATTTTTCTGCTGAAAGCATATAAGCTGAAGTAAAACCTACCTAAGAGAGTAATACATTTAGGCATAGAAGATTATAAGCCCTGTCTTTACGAAAAACAACAAAAAACCCAACAAAATGAGAGACAAACAGTAATCACTGCTTGTCACTACTGCACCAATATTATATACCTTCAAAAGATGGAGATTTATTAAAGCTATACAAAAAAAAAGCAGAGGCAGTGTTTTTTTGTTTTTGTTTTTAGATAGGCCACTTCTTTAAATAATAGTTTATGTATAGTCTTCCAACTACCCGTATCCTGTTATAACAGGATTACAACTTGTGGAACAGAAAAGCTAAATATATTAATAAAAAATGGGTGAATTCTTATTTGCAGAGACCTCTGAGCACATCACTCAAACACAGAAACAGGTAAGATCCAAGACTCTTCCTGTTTAACCTCAAACATTATATGCAACATATTAGAGACCATTAGTTTGAGATATAAATTAAAATCCACTTATTTCCAAAATAATGATTGGTGATATTAAAAGGAGGTCTTACAATACTAATGCCAATATTGTTAAAATCCAGTAGGCACTAAATTCATTATACTGCAGCACTCCATATGTAACATGGTAAAAAAACCAAAACAACACAAACAAAAACCAAAACAAACCCTCAAGCCCCCAGATCACTGTCCAGGTAAATACCAGGAGCTGCAGCAATTATAAAGAACTGACCTCTTTCACTCCTACAGGAGTGTAAAATATTTATCCAAGTACAACTCTTGGATAAATCACTGAAGCCCTATCACCAGCTTGGTTTACACTCTTTTAAGAGCTAACCAAGGAACCCATAAAAATGGTTCTAAGAGAAAACTTACTGCAATCACCCAGTAAAGAACCCCGTGTGAAGAATGAAACCCACAAAGCAGTGCTTTCACACAGCCAAAACTATTTCTTTTGTGCTTAATTTAATAAAGCCTCAGAAGACATAGTGAGTGCTGCCTGTTTCCTAAGACTGTATTTCATAATAGTTGCATATTTGTGATTTTCTTATTTATCAGTATAACCTGTTATGGTCTCATTCTACTCATTACTCTATGTCATATTCCAAATCTACATTCTAATTTCCAATGCAGAAGTTACACTTTTTCTTTAAAAACTAAAAATGTAAATAACAAAGTAAACCAAAAAACTTCTTAAAAAACTGAAATTGCTGCAGTTATTTCAGATTTCTCAGGGTTTTTCAAAAATTCTTTGCTTTTGTGGTGTAAATTCATAGACTTATTTGTTCAAGTCAATGTATTCTGAATCCTAATAAATGAGAAATTGTTTTATTGCTGGAAGAAGGGAGTGGAAGGTCTTTAAACACCTCATTGGCAAAATATCTTGAGACTGTCAACCATCGTCAACTGCATTTTGGCTCCAAGCTTTGAAAACAACCTTTCAAATTATTTTTTATTTTAATCAAATAAATAGGGCCATATTTTCCCCTTTCAACTGATCTGTAAACTAACATAGGCTCCTTTCAATTAAAACAAAACCCAACAATTTTGGATATCCAGCTTGTAGCTCTTAACACTACCAGGTATACTTGTTCTTTTCAAGTATTAAAAAAAAAAAATCTGCATACTGTGATCTTGAATAACTAAGCCTGGCAGGAGACAAAAAACAGAACAAAAAGAAACAGCATTACTGGCCTAATCCTATGGCATTAGGAACATTGCTCATCACTGTCATGTATTTGTCACCAAAGTGTCTTTTCAGTGCATATTATTTTGTGCTGAAATGCAACAAAACTTTTCACAAAAATAGTTTTAGGCATGTTCATACAAGAAGACGTACATATATTTCTGTTATATATACATATATATGAATGTGTATATATAGATATAATATCAGCTTCAACCTGTACATAGATATTCTGAATTTCATCCTTAAAACACATCCCTTTCAAACAACATGGATGGCTTTCCAAGAAAAAGTGCTTGATTGATTTTATCCTGTGTGAACATGCCCATCCTCTGTGCATTTGCCCAAGTAGAGATATTTATGATCAATCCTTTAAACGTACATATCTCAGAGGTATTAAAAAAAAAGAAAATAGGAAAAAGTAATATTGCCCTGATGATGCAAAAAGAACAATGCATAACTGAAGCAGCTTGGATTTTAAGAGTTATCTTGCATTCTGCAGCAAACAATTTTTAAGTAATTGTTGAAAATCTAGTTTCTCCATTTGTGTTATTGCTCCCCACTTGTACATTTCCTCATTACACATCAACGGTACACAGAGGTTCACTACCAGGTTGAGCTGATTCCACTATTGTCATCTTGGGTTTCTTTCGTGTTTCCTCCTTAAAAAAAAAAAAAAAAAAAGAAACAAACCCCCCCACAGTCATAAAGAGAATATAATAAAGACCATTTTACAATTTTGAAATATTTCAGCCAAATTTATGTGCCAATCTTTGTGAAAGACTAACTTGTTCTACTGTTAAAAATAATTCACCAAAGTAGGTAAAATTAAGTTATAAGGCCGTTTAAAAGATTAAAACCTCTCTAAAAGCAGCCCCTCCCCCCAACAAAATCAAGTTTGCAAAAAATTTAGTAATTGGTAAGTCTGACCCATAGCATTCTTCTATAAACAGAAGAGAGCATCTACTCACTCTTTCTTGTGCCAATTTTTTCATTTCTTCCTGTAACTTGTTCAGGATGTGCAGATTTGGCTTGTTCTTTTTGGCATACTGCTGAAGTTCTATCACACTTTTATCAGAGGTTTCCTATTCAACAGAACCACAAGCAACAACAGATGAGGTTTTTTTTAATGGGGAAAAAAAAAAGTACATGGAGCAGAAGTTTAATCTGTGATAGCTGTACTTCCTTAAGGAATAACATATAACCTATTTAATATTTAACTAACTCCTGTAAATATATAATTTCAACCTGGAAGACGTGAGATTAACAGAATTATTACTGTCAGTGAATTTAACTAACTCCTGTAAATATGTAATTTCAACCTGGAAGACGCGAGATTAACAGAATTATTACTGTCAGTGAAGGCACCCAGCTTATGTTCTGGCAATAGCAAGGTATAAGAATCAATTCAGAAAAACTGAGATTGCTCATCAAATGCATACTGCTTTCACCATGACAGGGAACAACACTAGTATGCCAAAACAGATATTATTAGAGCTTTGTTGCAACTAAATAAAAAAAACACTTGAGATTGCTCATCAAATGCACACTGCCTTCACCATGACAGGGAACAACACTAATACGCCAAAATAGATATTATTAAAGCTTTGTTGCAACTAAATAAAAAAAACACAAAACAAAACAAACACCAAAAAAAAGAGAAAAATACAAAAGCAAAATTACAATCACAAAGTAGGTTACAATCCAACAAAATCATGTTCACCTGTTTAACCATCTTGCTACTCTCTCTACCATACATACGCAAAAGAGAGCCCCAATTTTTCACATGTGGATGCAGTAGCTGTAGGATTTTCTGAGAAGCTAATTGTTTCCCCACTCTTTTATTTTTGCCTGTAAAAATAATCATGAAAACGTGTCAATACTGGCACATTATATAATTAGACAAACAACAATATTTACTGAAGTAATTCAAAACTGAGATACCAGACAAGAGTAGAATAAGCATGTAACAAGCTAGACAGCTGAACAAGCACCTACAAAATGGACAACAGACAAGAACAGGGAAAAAGGAAGATTTTATCAGAGGTCACACTAAGTACTCTACTTACACCAGCCTCGCACCGTGTGCTTGCCACAAGTCATGACGTACTCGCTCTTCTGATTTTTACCAGGAATCACTTCAAACTTTATGGATGTATCCCCCATTCCATGGTTTCTTAAGCACAAATAAAACCAATAAGTAGTAATATCAGTATATATACATAAAATCAATATACTAAGTAAAATTACAAACAACTGAAGTGGTTGCAATTAGCTTTGAGAGTCATTGCGATGGAATTAAATACATTAATAATAAGCTTTAACACATTAAACAAGAGTTCTTTTTTAGATCTGCAACTTGACTTGAATGGAAAGGCAAGCCTGTATAAAAGAAAAGAAAAATAATATGTCCAAATGAAATCCCAATCTCAGAAGACAAGAGACATAAACAGTGAACATGAATTAAAGGAGGATACAGCATTAACCAGTCCAGTCTCACAGCCACAGTAAGTGCAGAAAGCTCGGCTAGCCCACATCCAAGTCACTGACAAACACTGGGGGTACCAGCAACCAAGCAAACAGTGGGCTCCGACCCAAACATCTGCACACAACAGAACTTGCTCTTTATTCTGCAGCCTTACCTTTTAAGGCACTCATGGAGAATCTGATATGGAGACAAGAGTCCAGCTTTACTGGTGAGTTCATATACCCGTGAGTCCTCAATACTGATATGGTTAAAATACTACAAAGGAATGGAAAAGGGTTATTGAGCTTTTATGCGAACAAAACCTTAATACTGTTCTTAACCCTCATTTCTCCTTTGCAACATTAAATAAGCTCTGTTACTTTGTGCTTAAAACTTAAAGTACTTTTAAATGCCTAATGGAGGCAGTTACCAACATCATTAAGACTGCCACGCTTAATCATGTTTGCAGGCCAAAATTTAAAGTATTCTTTTAACTCCAATTTTGTATTATAGTAGATGGACATAAAAATGACAATCTTATAAATTCTTTATCATCCTCTCTCCCTCAGAACAAGGTTATTTTATTTATTTTAACTAATTATGAAATGCTCCTTACCAAGATGTTGTGGTTTAATAACAGATAACGTAACAGTTATTGGAACACTTTGTATTTTATTTCAAAACAATAAGAAAATGCAGAGAATTTTTCTAATGACCATTTCAATAGTGCAGGGCATACAATACAGTTTTAAAGCAAGTGTAGAAACAAATCATTTTCTATTAGTATATTTTTTGAAATCCAAACATTCCTTTCAGGCTGATCACCGATTTTTCCTTTACTCCTTGCTGATGGTCTGTTACATGCTGAGTTGGGAGTGAATGTATCACTGATGAACTAGCTATTTAGCATTTCCAATACCTGAAAGAAAATATAGCACACTCTCTCCACTTAAAGAAATTTTTCCTTTAATTTTCTCAAATGTCACTGCTTAAAGTCTGCAAATTTAGCTGTCTGATCTGGCAATAAGTACTTTCACGATAAGTGAAAATGTCTCAGAAGCCTGGGCACATTTAGTCCTTTACTTGGTCTTCTAAGACAATCACAAAAAATGAGACAGCATCTAGCCCTGAAATTTTCAAGGCATCAACCAGAGGATTCTGGGAGCCGGGACAGTACAGGCAGTCTAGTGTCCTGGAACATTTCAGGTCTTCAGTGAGTGACCTGATACCTGAACAAGGAACTAGTTCTCTGCATCACAATACATTTTCTGATCAGTTTCAACACAAAAAAAAAGTATTTTCATCACCATAGATCTTGCTATAAATGAAGAATTTGATATTTCCATCTGTCTGAGAAAACAATGTTATGAATTGTTATTAATATTTCTGACATTGAAAGAGTAATGTTTTTAATAACAGACTCCAATAATGACAGCCAGCAAGCGAGAGTTTAGTACCTCAAGTTCTTCACTGTCTTTGGGCTTCTCCTCAGAGGTCTGTTTAACAAAGTCAGGAATAAGGATTTCCAGTGTAGCTCGAGCTGCAGAAAATTATTGAACATCTTGATTACATTTATTTTAAACAATGTTTGCAAAGCAAAACAAAAGAATTAAGCACTCTTTAAGCAAGCCTCAGATCTCCCCTAGAGACAGCCATTCATATTAAAGAACAACTTGGCAGATAAGATGGGTATCTTCTTTAAGTATATTTCCTTGCACTTTTTAAGGAAAAAAATTCTATTTGTTCAAGTTAATAATGAAAGTCTCACACAGCTAATTAAATTAAGAAACTGCTTCTTGCAAGTGCCTATAAAAGGAGAAAAAAAAATACAATCCAGTCCCATTTTAAAAGTGACAGAAAACCCTCATGACCTAAAATTAGAGAGTTGTTATCACCCCCTAGTTGTTACAGCTGAACCCCGGTACAGAATCACTAGGACACTCAGAACCCTAGTGTTGCACAAAAAGCAGACCCAGAATTTGCCTAAATTTCCAGAGCAAAATACCATTTTTTTTTTAAAATGCACAAACAATTCTGGGCTGGCTTTTGGTGATGTAGCTGCACTGACATATCGCACAAGTGCAGAAAGTACCACAGGTACATTACAGAACTTTACATTTTGAAAAGTTATTTTCTCTTGATCCTTGTGCTAAAGACATTTAAATCTGTAAAGCAATAAGAAGTTCTAAGGTGTCAGATACATTCTCATCTAATCTTAATTACAGACTTACATAATTAGAACTAATTAATGAAAACAAGTACTTGGAAATCAGTAATAGTTCAGTGCAATTGTTTTATTACCAGAAAGAGAACCAGAACAACTGAAAGCTGGAGGGTGGTTTTTTTTTTTTTTAAACAAAGAAGGGCAAAGAGTTATATTTTGCTAAAATCCATACACCAGGCATTTATATAGCAAGTGACAGTATAAATTTGTCTTATTGACAGAGACAGAAGCTCTTAACAGCTACTCAGTAGTTTATATATACTTTATATACACCAATAGTTTACACATAAGTTAACATCTGAAGTTTCTTCACGGTCTTCCCTCAGTACATTGTTGAGCCTAGGGTTGCCAGAAAAGTCTCAGAAATTAAAACAGATACACAATTCAGGAGTTGGTATCAAGAAAGAAAAAAATGTTACCAGCTTTATTCTTGGCAAGTTTTTTGCTGCTGGCAGTTCCTGCCCCATAAGTTACTCCATCAATAATCACTGAGGCTCCAAAAGGTTCACTTGGGTTCTCTGGAAATGGAGGAGGACAGAAAAAGAAAGCTTTTCAGAACTCCCAATGTAAAACACTCATCACAAACATGAAATACCACCACTATCAAGGTTTGTTTTCTTCTTCATTTCAGCTTCAAGAGGGATGGAAATAATTTCTCTTCAGAAAGACTAAAGAACTGCTTACTCCAGTGGAGAAAAAACATATACAGCTTTTCATTAACAGATACTTACCACCACGTACTTTTATTTTTCTGAACTAAGAACTTTTACATTTTAAGAGATAATTTGTTATCTGCTAGAATTCAAATGTTAATTCCAAAGCTTCTGCATCACTAATACAGTGTAAATACAGGAGCTACACATGCCAATATTGACAATTCAGTTACACTATATAATGCGTATATAGGAATATATTCAAAATAGCATGTAATCGATTAAAAAAACAACTTAATAGACTTACCACATTCAAAGAAATTGTAAACAGGGCGAACCTTTAGGACTCGTTGCATATATTCATGCAGTATGCAAACTTCAGATTTCCCATTGGGATTAATGACAAATTCTATAAAAAAAGATGGGGAGAGGGGAAGACAGATAAGTAATCCCAGCCTTTAATTTCTACTACAAATAAATAAATAAATAGGTTACAAGCTACAAGGGATATGTGCCTGCTCAAATTAAATGCAGTGCTGTTGAATCAGTCATGGATGACCTCAAAAGTCCATTTTCTCTGAAAAAGTATTAAGTCTGAGAAATTTCTGTTAACATCTGGAAGTGCTCTAGTTGTGAGCTAAGTCAAATATTCTATATTTAAGGTTTGTAGTCCTATGGTCTCTGGACCTCTACACACAGCATTTTTGGCAGCTGATGTCAATTAGAAATCCTCTAAAACATTCCTAAACAACAGGCCTGTAGGCTTCAAATTCACAAACCAAATCACTCTTGTTTTTTTTCCCCTCCCTGAAATTCTGTTCAGCAAGCAACAGATGAGGTCACTGTCCCCTTGCCCTGAAGATACTCTTTTAAAAGTCTTTTTTTTCTTTTTTCTCTGCAACAGTATTGTTAGGCAAGAGCACAAAACCTGCCTCAGCAGGCACTATGGCAGCATTAGAGAAAAAGTTAAGGCCTAGACAGATCAAGGCCAAATAAATCCTTAATTTAGGTGGTTTCAGTGTGGCTCTAAACCTAGAATTTAAGATTAAGTGTATTAACTAAGAATCCAACTGCACCTCCCTGTAAACAGAGAATGGTCAATATGCAGCTCATAAGCTTTAATTCCGCTAAGGTGAAGAAACCCAGAAACATGTCAACTTACAAAACAAGAACAAAACCCAAAGCACAGGCCTACGGATATTTTAAAACTCAGACTGCAGTTAAACATACTACTGTGGCTACACAGCCAATACAGATAAGAGCTAATTCCCCCCTTCTCATCAGACATGATATCCACTCCTCACACCACAAGACACAACTGCACACACAATTCTTCCTTAACTATTTCTGTCAAATTGCTTTAAATTTGTATTTTTCATTGTAGGTTTTAATCTGAATCAATTTGGCATTTGTAACCAGTCCCTAATTTGAGACCAGTTAGAACTGGCACAGAACAGAGCAGGCAGTAGCACTGAGGGACCTCGCAGGAGGGTTTTCAGTAAAAACCAACAGTAAGAAGTAGCTGAAGGTAGTAACCAGCTACCAGGACTGCAACCTTAAATAAACATCCTTTCATTTGGAAATACTCTTTTTAAAAGGAAGTATATTTTGACAGTATTTTTATTTTAATATGTAATATTCTGGAAGAAGAAAGTGGACTTATTACAGGATATTTTTTTTTTCTTCAGACAAGCTTAGAATTGTAATTAGTCTTTGATGTAGAATATTTGAACTATAGGTAGACAAACTAACCTTTCTTTGTAGGTGCATCTTGCACAGACAAGGTAATGAGTTTCTGATTGGCAGGCAGAATAGGCCGCTCTGATTCTGCCTGCTTCCGCTTCATTTCACGATTGAATTGCCGTCTCTCAGCCCAGGTCCTAAATTTTTTTACGGTAACTTGTTCAAAGTCAAAACGCTTTTCAAGATAGCGTCTAAAATCTTCCAGATCTAAGAAACAAAAGAAAGTTACTCTCTCTACCACTGAGCAAGAATTAAGTTCACTATTTCCACTGTTTTAAACATTTTATAATTTTTTTTTAGACAAGGAGCAATGTGGCTTTAGCTCACCTACTCAAGCTTAAGATGCTATCTTATACTAACAGAACTATTTACAAGTTTTCCTGTTACTGGGTCAAATGCAAAACATTTGTGCAAACTAGGAAACAAAATTATAAAAAAAGAACATTTTATTCTATCACTTGAAGATTTTGCTAAGCCCTAACCAGCATAATACCCAACACAATTTATAACAAAGCACTAGTAATTGTTCTACTGCATCACCTACTCATCTTCTCATTACCTGAAGTAAGGTACACAGTGAGTAACAGCACTTAGCTATTAGCCTCAGGTTCCTGAGGCCAAAGCTGACTATTGTTGCCTATCTATTAAATGCTGTACAATGAAACACTATATAATGATGATCCATGAATTCCATGAATACCTGCTGGCCCCTAAACAGAATTTAACACACTCATTTTCACATGCAGAGTACTTGATCTCAACTCAGTTTCCAAGTCTGGTACATGTCAAGTCTAAAGTACATGTACCCCAAATGCCACTCCTCCAACTCCAGCCAAGAAAAGACTCTACTTTCCATACATACCTACAGATTCATCTTTACATACTTCAACTTTGGCCTTAACTTGTCCTAAGGCTCCTTGTGCTGCGTCTCCACCTGAGGGGTCTTTGTCATCTAAAGGCCCAGAATCAGCAGCAGTAGAATCTGGTTCTTCTGTTTGGCAGTCCAGTTCTGAAGATTTATCTAGATGCTTTACAGGTGACACTTCCCCATTTGGGGTTATATCATTGTTTTGTTCCCTTTCCTCATTTTCCTTCATTTTCTTGTAATGTAAGCAGGGAATGCTACTAAGGGGAGGATCATGTTTCTGCAAATATAAAATAATACAGAAAGTTTCAATACCTGAAGGTCACCAAAACCAAAGGCAAAACTCAAAAACAAAAGATGTAATCAAGATGGAAGTTAGTTTATTTAGTCTAGGATCAAGCTTCTCTTTGGTCAGCAATCTTACTCTACCCAAGATCTGAGTATGTCCAACCCTATGGTATCTTGGCACTGTGTGACACTGACACTAACCTTCAAAGTGTGTTTGCCGTATTAGATCTAAACTATATTGTGTTCATGCTTTCATAAAATCCGTTGAGCTCTCTTGGGGTTTAAGCCCATTAGATTAAATTCAGTATCTGCGGATTCCTTGGGTTCAGGAACATCACATGCTTACTTCCGCAAATGGGGACCATAGGCCACAGCTCAGGCTAGTTTGTAGCTACAAATAAATGATCTAAATGTATCTCATGGTAGAATAAAACCAACACTTTGCAGCCATATGCTAGAACAACAAAGGCACCAAAGAAGAGCATTTCATTCACTTTAACTGCCAAAACTCATTGCAAAAATGGAAAAACAAAACACAGTAAGAAATATCATACTTTCAGAAATAGGAGAGTTTATTTTTCATATACCTTAATTCTAACACTGTAAAGAAGCCCACTAAAGCAGAAAAATTTCAACTGTTTGCAGAAACAGATCTAATTTTTAAATCTCAGCAAGTATTTAAATAATTGACAGCTCTCACCCTTATGCTTCCTGTTCCCAAGAAGTAAGGTCTAGACCAGGTAACAACTCTAGATTCTCTGTGCAGATATACAGGAATGACAGAGTTATGGAATGTCATGATCCATCCATCTGGCAAAGGTTCCGTAGGAGGGCGGCCACGACCTTTAAAGCAAAAAATGGCTTTAAACTTGGGTAGACTGCTTAGAACAGAAAAAGAATCAAAGGTTTTTTATTTTTATTGCTTTTCCTGTCTCAAAGGATAAAACAATGCTGAAACAAGACTAAAGAAATTTTGTAGAAAGATTTTGTTTTGCTTTAATAAAAAGGGCATATGCCTCTAACCCACCTTAAATCCTGCAAAATTACAGATTCCATTACATTTTCAACTGAAAAGCCATAGTAGCACTAATTTTTATACAGACCAATTTATTTAACCAGTGAATCTTCTCCTCTGTCTTTGTTATGTACTAAGTTTTATCATCACAAACACCACTATATTTAATGGAGAAGTCTTACTTGCTTTTGAAACAGTTAACTGAGTTTTCCATTGAAAACTGCTGCACTTGACACTCAGGAATAAATTTGTCTTGAGACATCAGCAAACCCACACACCCAAACAGCAATCAATGAGTTATGCTGCAAGCTAAGGCTTTCCTATTACATTTTTCAGCACACGCACAATACAAACCAGAATCAAGTCTACAAGCCTTTATACTTAAATATCTTAACCATCAAGAACACTACTTCCAGCAAACAAGACCGAAATTAGAGTACAATAAGCCAATACAGGGAATCACATAGCAAAAGAAACAATATTGCTGTAACATGCTCATGTTCACACTCAAATTAATAATGCATGGCCTCACTCCTATTCCAGAGATCAGGGAATGGTCCCAACTCCTCTCTACACCAGAAAACAGAGACCAGACTCATCTTACCTAGGAGCTTCTTGGCAATCCTGTGTTAGTATAAAATTTTGGAGGGAAAAAACTGATTGCTTTCTTATTTCAGAATATACTGAAGCTGCAAAATACTCTTCAAGAGCAAATTGAAATTTTAATTAGAAATCAGACTATTTTCAGTTACGTTCTTCTGGATTGGTTCACATTCTCAGCTCTTCTTTATTAGTAGTTTGTAACATTTACACATTGAAACTTGATAATCATAAGCCACCAACTTTCCTAATGATTTTTTTTATCTAGTATTGCATGCATAAAGACTTCACATTGAGCAATCTGAACAACAGAAGTTTTATATAACTAGAGTAGGAAGAAGTTCACAATCACGACAGTCTTCAGCAGTTTCACAGTATTGAAGACAAAAGAACAGATCATCCTTGTTCATCTCCCACCACTGAGGTAACATTCGTTACAACTGTTCACAAATACACACACTAAAATACACCCTCATCACATACAACAGATGAAGATCAAAAGCACTCCCAAAAAATCAACTTCACTGTTCAGGAATGTGAAAAATCATATCCTAGAGTAAGATGCCTTCACACAAGACAATTCTGAAACACATTAACTATTTCACAAGCTAAACTTTGCTGATATACTTTTGTTCTGCAGACATAAGTCACACACACACACAAAAGATATTTAGTGAATATTAACTTACTTTTAAGGACTGTTTTAATTTTGGTCATCATTGGCTGCACACTTGTTTCTCCATCAGACTGGTGGTCACTTTCACCACCATATTTCTCATTCTCTAGTCTCCTCGTTTTGGGTGCTCGAAGACCCTCTTCCAGCAGAGCATCCACATCATTATCAAAGTCATCCTGAAAGAGACTTCATCAGACACCATCCTTCTGGGTCTACTAACCTCCCTTTCCCCTTGCAAAGAAAACGTTTATATTTTCTCTATATACTTCCATACAGAGAGAAACTAGAAATTTCCAATGATCCTAGTAAAAAGACTGAAAAATAAGAAAATAAGTTCTTATAAAAACAGGTATTTTTCATGATAAAATGAGCTGCAATTGTGTAAGAAGCCTTTTAATTGTTATTTTTAAACAAGACTATAGAAGCTGCCACAACTCAAAGAAGTTCGACCAACATAATTTACAAAAGTTTTCAGCCAAAGTTCTGTCGCAGAAAATTCTGCATTTTTGATTCAAGTACTGCACATCTGTAGAAGAGACTGTTTCAGTGAGCATCTTTACATATATTTTTCTAGCCACTTGGAAACCTTTTACCCACCAAAAACCTGTGGATTTACTTACCTCATAGGAATAATTCATGGTTTCTTCATCCACTTTATCTCTTTGAACGATAGCTTTAGATGTGAACCCTCCTCCTTCTTCATCTATTTCCATCAAATTGTCGGTAAAATCTTCTAGCTCATCCAGAACTGCATATTCCACTCTTTTTTCCTGATCAATATCATTTTCATCATCCTTCTTGTCATCATTTTCACCCCCTATTCCTACAGCTTTACCATTATTACCACCAAAAGGACAGACATGCAAATCCCCATTGACATTATTAATATCAAAATCTGTATCTGCCTTATAATCTTGCTCAACTCCAGTGTACAGAACTTTCCTATCTTTGCTTTTGCAGCTTTCTGTAAAACTAACACTAATCTTTACATCTTTAAGTAACTTAAGATCTGGGGTGAACTTTCGAACTGAAGGTGCATGACGAGCAGTTCTTGGGCTTTGGTCACTATTGTTAGGGTCTACTATAAGACGACTTTTGTAGCAGGCAGATCCCTTTGTGAGCAGCTGTGTTCTGCAGATACTGTGCGTGTCCCCAGCAGGGGTATCTGACTGTCCATCACCACCAGAGCCAACGTCCATTACCTCTGCGTCACTGGACGTTTGCAGGGGAGGTGGTGGAGGCTGTTCGTTAGGCGGCAGAGGTGGGGGACAAGTATGATTCTCCACATTCATCTCTCTTGCAGGTTCTTTAGGGAGGGGTGGTACATTTTCATAGTTCTCCATTTTTAAAACTACTGTTTTTAAAGAAACAATGCTTTAATAAATGTTTATATCTGTATTCCTAACATGCAAAAGTCCATCAGGATTGGCTTATCATGTTCTATTCAATATGCAACACTGATGATTCAGTTAAGCTGACTACATTGTTCTTTTCATTAATGTAGACAGCTTTCAGAATCACTGTCTCAATTATTGGAAATCACAATGCATTCAGCTTAAATAGCTGAAGACTAAGACTGCATCTTCACTGGATAAACAGGTCTCCCTTTCTTCTTTCAACCTACAAGAAGAAAAAAAAAAAATCTTTGTCACAGAAAAAAAAAAAAACCCAGAAATAGTGTCCCAGGCAAAAAGATGTCACTCCTTCTGGCATAAATTTCAAGTAGAAGTAAGAGTGACAATTTTACAGGGAAAACAACAGGGTGTCTTGATACCATTTTGAATGAGGCTGAAATTAGATTGTTTTTACTGCTTGATCTGTACATCAGCAGAAGAATTTACTAACATATAATTGCCTGGATAACTTCTTGACTAACTCCGGTTAGCAGGCAAGGTATTAAGCATGGCATTCGTATGGACCAGACTAAAAACTGTGCATTTGGGGTGGACTCTCCCGTTATTTTAAAAAAACCTGGTATGTGAGCCATACTTACCCACACAGCAGAAAGGATAATTAGCTTACAGTTAAAGACAATTGCAAAACCAACAAGATTTTAACAACTATGGTCTTGTAAGACACATAGCTTTTTGAAAGTTTAAGTTATTAAATATTTCTGAAATCTCACTGGAAGTTTTAACAGGAAAGAACTCACACAGAATTACTCTCTAGATAACCAGATATTAGACATTTGATCTTACATTCCACACTATTACTGGACTATATATTTGTTATGGCCAAAGAATTCAGGTCTAGATACATAGCATTAAAGCTCAAAATAATTCTGGAACCTGGCAAAAACATTCAATTGCTCAAGGAAATTTTACAGAGGGTGGGCAGTGGGTGTTTTGGGTTTGTTGGTTTGGTTTTCACATAAAGAAGGTTCTTTCTACCATGTCTACTATGGCTTCTTCAACTAATCTTTTTGTCATCTGTGCAGGACTATAAGCACCTGGGGAAAGGAAGCATGATTTCTTACCTGCTCTTTTGGTTTCTCCAAGTCCCTCCGTACCACCCCAAACTGGGCTTAAATCTTCCTAACAGCTAGAAATAAAGCAGTGTTATGCTGCCCAAGACAGCCAGCTGGCTGAATCCTCTCTGTTCAAAGTATCTCCAGGTAGTGGACAAAGCCTACCCAAAGATAAGCTCAGAGCCCTTAGCATCACTGTGTAACACCTGAAGGCAACAGGGCGGAAGGTCTGGGTTGTCATGAGGGACTTAGAGAAGCCAAATACAATTCTCTAACGTATCTCTATGCCAGCCCAGACAGAACAAACCAACAGCAATATCCAAACACCAACTGGGACAAGGTAGGAAGCTGGGAATTGGGAGTTATAATGGGATCAAGTAAAATTCACAGCACACAGAAGCCACCTACCTGGAAGCTGGAAGAAAGCAAAATATACAACACAGCAAACTCTTATTTTAGCGATTTGACAATAAAGTTTTGCTGGGGCAACAGAATAGTTCATATTTTGTGTGTTTTTTGGTTTGTTGTTTATTTTTTTTCATATACACTCAAATGGGACACAATCAAGATGCTGAGCTTGACATGCAATGTAGAATTAATAATGAAAAATACTCCATTTGGATAAAAATTCTAAAACAATCCCACCTTCTCTGATACAAACATATTACATTCCAAAATGAAAAACAGATCATTCACCAGTAAGACAAGAAGTTCTATATATTAAACACATTCCATCCTACAAGATAACCATACAATCAACTGAGCAGTGATCATTTCCTTCTTTCAACAGGTTCTGAACAATGTTACACAGAACCCCTCTGGAAATGTATTTGTCTAATAACCTTCCCTTTTCCTCATCTTCAGATTAAAAAAGAAGGAAAAAAAAAAAAAAGGTGAATTACAAACTATTTACTTCTTCACAATATATCATTAGTATCTTCATTGTTAGTTCCGAACAAAAGAATCAAAAGTCACAGTACAAGTTCAGTAACTCCTGGAAACCAAATGCCTAAGTAGCCTAATTTTTCCACCTCAAGAGTCTTTAGAAGACTCTTTAAAAGAGCAAACAGAAGTAATTTACACAGAAATGAAATACTGAAATTAGCATTCTAGAATTTAAAAGAGCGCTACCTTTCCTTACGATGAAGGAGCTACCTGGTTAAACTAGAACAACTATTTTTAACAAGTCATAAGACATGATCGTGAATGCAGTTCCACTTCCCTGATACTCGTCCTGCTCCTACGCTAAAGAGTGTTTTAACACCACCAATGTCAAAACACAAGAAATTAATCTTTACCTGCCTAGCTTCTGCAGTTCACTGACACTACACCTCCCCTCTTTGCAGAAAAGATGTCTTGTTATTATATCCAAGCACGATTAACAATGAAATTCTTGTTGGCCTTGAAATAATGAATAGCATACCAAACCACTGCCAGGGATTGTCTACTACTCAGTACACAGACTGTGGCCAGAAAAAGTACTAGACCAAGAGGACCAACTTTTGCATTTCTAGCCATAAACCTGCCACATCCCTAGGGTGTCTGGCAGCTCTACACTTACAGCACAATACCTTCCCTTAAGCTACAAAAAGCCAGGGAGAAGTCGTGGTTACAGCACAATACCTTCCCATAAGCTACAAAAAGCCAGGGAGAAGTCGTGTAATACAGGTCCAATTCCCATCTACTTTCTTGCCAACTGAAGTTACAATATGCCCTTTATATCAAAGGCTGGAAAGACAAAAAAACAACAAAACCAATAAGGTGTTTTAAAAGAAATACAGAAGGGATGAAACCTGAAAGGATGAGTCACATGAGCCTGTAGGTTAAAAACAGCCAAACGGATCAAGGGAGCCCAACAACCATGTATAAAAACAGACTTGGCATACTAGGTTATGTAATATTAGAATACAACATTAGTTAGTTTGCCTATTGTCATCCTTAATTAACTTGCCCTGAAAGGACAGATTTTATTCTCCAAGGCTCCACCAAGCTCCAATCAGCAGTTTCCATAAGGAGTCCTTAAAAAAGGTAGGGAACGCTCACTGACAGCTGCAACAGCCAGTACCAAACACTGAAGGAACTCTGGACGAACTGCTGAAAACACCAGTGCAGAGCTCATGTTCTTTTTGTTATATCTATTGTATCTTTTTGATACATACAGTCCTAGAAATAAGTTCATCCTATTTATTATCAATTGCTAAAAAATCCCAAAACAAGGAGACTGAATTTATTTTGTTTAAACCAGAACAGGAAGTCTCAAAAGAAAAATATTCTGTAAGTTTACTACTACATAGAAGAAGTAGTTTCTCTCCCCACTATCAGCTTTAGAATAGAAAGATTCTGAAGGAAAGAATGAGTTTACGTAAATCATCAAGGTAGTCTAAGAAAAGGCAGTGAGGGCCCACCCATAACACTATCAGTAGCAAACACAGACAAAGCTGAAGAACTTCTCTAGTTCATAAAACTTCATCCCATTTCAGGCCAGAGTACATAATTTTGGAAAGGCATCCTCAAAAATGGCAAAGCAATTGCTGCTTTTATGGCTTGACCAGTTTTCTGTCAGGGTTTAGATGGTTTCAATTAATTGAGTAAATAGGAAACAATTTTTTTAAAAAATTTGCAAATCAGAGCCTAGGAAGGAGAACAAATATTTTTCGTTTCACATCACAGAAGACTTCTTACTTATACAAAAAACCAGCAGACATAGAGAACCAAACTCCCCTCTCATTCTCTAAAAAAGCTAAATAAACCTGGTAATCAAAAGGAGATGCCCAAAAGAACTAGTGACCTAACTCCTCATCCAGAAGTAAAATCAGGAACCCTCAAGTTTAATCATCTAAACAGAAGGGAAAAGAGGTATGCTCACAAAAGAAAAATCAGAGACATAACTCTAGCATCTCTAACTCACAACCTAAGGGAATAAAGAAGTTGAATGTGTTCACCCAGCGAGCCCTCCATCCCAGTTTATGAGGGAGTGATACCTGGATGTTGGGCCCACGCTCTCAGCGGGCTAACAAATAAACCTGAAACCTAAAGAAAAGAGATACAAAAGAGAGACTTTTTATTTTTCCAAACAAAAAAAACGGTGAACAAAGTCAGGAGAATAAACCTTTTAGAGGCTGATCAAGAAAATTCAGAAGAAGCTGTAACTGTACTTTGCTATTAACAGAAGGAAGACATGAAGAAGAACCCTCAGAGTCACGGACACACACCACTTTATCTTCACCGTCCCAACACACCGGCACTAAAAACAGTGAACGGTCCTTTTCTTCCCAACTCTGCACAGGAGAGACACGCGCCCAGCGGAAACCCTCCTCCTCCCTCTCTCTGCTCCAGGACACACACACGCACCGCGGGGCAGAAACTCCCGCCAGGGCTGATTCTCCCCATTGCCCCCCGGACAAGGAGGCGTGCGGGAGGGTACAGAGACACGGCGCTTCCCTTCCTTCTACTGCCCTGAACGCAACTCCACGGCGGGACCGAGCAGGGAACAAAAAACCAACCCCCCTCCCCAAA